ACACTGTGTCAGGCGGCATGAAGGAGACACTGTGTCAGGCGGCGTGAAGGGGACACACTGTGTCAGGCGGCATGAAGGAGACACACTGTGTCAGGCGGCATGAAGGGGACACACTGTGTCAGGCGGCATGAAGGAGACACTGTGTCAGGCGGCATGAAGGAGACACTGTGTCAGGCGGCATGAAGGGGACACACTGTGTCAGGCGGCATGAAGGAGACACACTGTGTCAGGCGGCATGAAGGGGACACACTGTGTCAGGCGGCATGAAGGAGACACTGTGTCAGGCGGCATGAAGGAGACACTGTGTCAGGCGGCATGAAGGGGACACACTGTGTCAGGCGGCATGAAGGAGACACACTGTGTCAGGCGGCATGAAGGGGACACACTGTGTCAGGCGGCATGAAGGAGACACACTGTGTCAGGCGGCGTGAAGGGGACACACTGCGTCAGGCGGCGTGAAGGGGACACACTGTGTCAGGCGGCGTGAAGGGGACACACTGTGTCAGGCCGCGGAGCCCTGGGGGTTATTTTTGTTGCTGCAGAGCCTAGCCTGTCCTGACTACTTCAAGGACTTTCCCCATGAACGTGCCCCTGTTAACTCTGCAGGACTTCAAACCACTTTTAGAGAGACGTGGAGAGAAGCGTTTCTCGTCGCGAGCAGCGTCCGGCCCTGTCCGCCTGGGCCCCTCTGAGTCGGCAGGCTCGGGGGACGGGCCGTGGCACAGAGCCCATGTTGGCTGCCCTCCTGCCCCAGGCCGGGCCCTGTGCTGGGCACTGCGTCCTGCCAGCCTTCCGAGCGGTACACTTGGACGGCTTTGGTCTTTATATCAGAGGTGAGGAGGAAGGGCTCAGGAGAGGGTGAATCACTCGTCTAAAAACCGCACGGCTGGTAGACGTCAGAGTCAGGACAAGACCCATTTCATCCGACCTCAGATCCCGTGTTCTTCCCGGTAGTATAAACACACACACCGTGAGCGTTTAATCCCTCGCAGCCTGTTGCTATTTTACTCCTAACCGTGGTCTCTTTCAAATAAACTTTTGTTGGATCAATTTACTATTCAAAGCTATTATTCTTAGAATTATTTTGTTCATTTCCCCCAGATTTGTTTTTACTGATCCTTGACACCTGAGGCGCTACAAACCTGGGTGTTTGTTTAAACTCCAACCGAATGCACTCGTGTTTGTTTTAAGTCAGAATATCATCGCCAAGGTATCTGGAAATGCCTCCTCCGTGGCTTACAGGTTTTTAAAAAAATGAGAGGTTTGCCCTTTCTGGCAAGGAACCTTGGAGGGCAGTAGAATGCCATGGAGGGAGCAGGTTTGTTTGTGAAGAGGGGGAATGAGGGCCCTTTGGTACCCAGTGCCGTTTCCTCTGCCATTTCTGCGGCCCTTCGAGCCTTACAGGGCCTCTACTTTAGGGGAGCCCCAGCGCCTCCTGCTGGCCTCACCAAAACACGACGACATCGCCATGCCCATCCACAGCTCACCCTGGCTGTCCTCGCCCTTGTGGGGTGGCTCACTGGCTGTTAGAGCGCAGCCGAGGCCCTCCCCAGGGCCCTCCGTCCAGGCGGGTGGAGGGCATGCCTCGGCCTGCATCCTCTGACTCCTGACACGACTTCCCGACAGAGAACCAGGGTTTTTCTCAAGTGTAACAATATTAATTATCAAGTCACTTTAAAACACGTGTGATGTATGTGTGCATTTATTCCCCGGGAATGGTATAAAGATTAAATACTTAATGAATCCATTTTTCATATCAAGGGTATATTTGCCCTGCGCCTAAATATATCTCTCCCTTCTGTTTCTCATGAGAAATATAGCTATCTTTATTATGTAATCAGTAATATATCATTCCTTCTAAGCAGGATCTAATTTTAGCAGCGTGATGAATGGCCCAGGAATGTATTCCACTGCCCTCTGCAGAGAGGAATATACATCAGACCTGCTCAGGTGTGTGTCACTTCTTTATCCCGGCAGCTTTCAACTCCCCGAGTGGCTGCCTGGATTTTCTGGCCGAGAGCCCCGGGTTCGCCTCTGCTTCGGCTTGTGCAGACAGCGCTCGGAAACGGCCATGTGTGAGCAACACCCAGGCTTGCGAGCTCCAGCCAGTGAGCTGTGCGGCTCCCCTGCGCCCGGGTTTATTGAAGCGGCTAGAAAATGACCAACTGGGTTTTTTCTTCAGCTCATTTATGTGCAGGATCTGCTTTTGTAGGACTACACTCAAGCCCCCCCCCCCATCTCCCATTTTTTCCATTGTGTCTTTCAGCAGCGACATTTCTTGAAAATGCAGGAACCATCCGGTTTGACTAGCAACACGAGGAATTGGTGACTTTGCTCTTCTCGAGCTCCCAAGAAGAAAACTCCGTTTTTTTGTCTGCTCCCTCTGAGTTTTATAGCTGCTTCTGCACATCTAAAGCGCCTGACATCTCAAGAACATTTTAATTTTGAAACTACTTTGAATTCGTCTTTGGTTGTAAGAGAATCAAAGAGGTACCTTATTTACATTTCAGATGTGAGAATTGAGGCTCAGAGAGATTAATTGAGGCTCAGAGAGATTAAATGACCTGCTCAAGTTTTGGGGCATGGCCTGGTAAGGAATAAACTCTAGCACTCCCTGCCTTTGCTTAATTTTAAATGGCATCTATATAAGATGGAAGATACAGTTATAAGTGTTTGTTTTTGCAACAATTATATATATATATATGAAGCTCTGAAATTCTTTGTGCAGCTACTTTATTTGCTTATTCTAAGATGTACTTTCTTGTCCTATATTTGTATTTCAAACTGTGCTGCATCTTGTAATCAATGGGGTATCATAATCCGATTGGCAGGGTTTTTGCCTTTTCTTAGTTGTTACAGCAGATGGCTACTTAAAATATCCCAACTCTTCACCCCTCTCTATCTCCATGCCCTTTGCGATGTCACTTTGCAACTCCTTGCATCCAGTGTTCAGGTCTTTTTCTCNCTCTTTACCCCTCTCTGTCTCCATGCCCTTTGCAATGCCACTTTGCAACTCCTCCCATCCAGTGTTCAGGTCTTTTTCTTCGTGCCTTGAAAATGGCCTTATCTTTACTTATTCCTGTAGAGGACGCTGTGGGTGCCCTTTTGCCCTCAACCGCTTCAGCCCGCCTGACTTCTAAATGCACCTGCATTGCTTTGCCTGAGGGCTGACTCTGGCTGCCAAAGCCCATCTTGCCTGCTATGATGACTTAAAAATATGTTCACAAATACTTTGACACTCCTGCCTCCTCTCCTCTTGAATATAAGCCAGACTTCATGACTTGACTTGCTGCTGTCAAATGGAATGTGATGGAAAGGACAGTGGGACTTTCAAGACTAGGTCATAAAAGGCACTGTGGCCATGCTGTCTCTCAGCTCACTCACTGCAGGGGCAAACCACATGCCTCATCCCCAGGACACTCAAGTGGTCAGATGAAGACATGGTAAGAAATTGAGGCCTCCAGCCAAAAGCCAGCATTGAGTGGCCTGCCATGGGAGTGAGCCATCTTAAGAGTAGATCTTTCAGCTTGGTCTTCAGATAACGAAAGCCCTGCCAATTCTTAACTGTAACCTTATGAGGAACCCTAAGCTATTCCAAAATTCCTGACCCTTACAAGCAATATGAGATAATAAATATTGTATTAAGCCACAAAGTTTGGGGATGATTTATTGCACATCAATGTATAAATAAACTCATCCACGTGGCAGGCTGGAAATGTTGGCGGATTACCTCTTGGAAGCATCCCCTAACCAATGACATGCAGTAGCTTGTATAAATACCACAGCTTCCTCACTCCTCGGGTAGGATAGCTGAACTCCTAGAGTTTCCCCAGGGGGGTTAGGTTCCAGTTTCCCAGGATAGTAACTGGATTGATAACACCCCTTGCCCTCCACTTTCCCCTCCCTGTCTAATTTCTTCATATCCCGCTTGGTGCTCCCTTTACCTCTGAGAGTAATCGCTCTCAACTCCTTGTCTCAGGATCCCCCTTTTAAGGGGAATGGACAGTGAGGAAAAAGTCAGTTCCATGGAATCGTTTGCCAAGCCTTGTGCATTATTTATATAAAATCTTCTTTCCATGGCTTCAATAGCACCAACCTGAGCTGATGAAAAAACAACAACAAAACAACAAAAAACACACATACAAAACAAATAACACTTCCACTCCACATTTATGTAAATGCTGGTGAAAATATACCCTCCTCCCCAATTTTTAAGAGCTTCAAACTCAAAACCAAGAAAAGAAAATTCTCCAGTGCCAGAAACAAAGAGAATACTCAAAATTATGGCAATAACAGAGAGGTGAAATGAAAATGCTCACATGTGAGTCAGGGGGAGAGAAAGGCTGAAGCAGGTGAAGTTTTGAAGTTCTGTGGGCAGAACTATGTAGGCCTGAGCCCCACAAGTGCCAGGAGCAAGGACCAGGCTATCCACATAAAGCCAGGGATCTTGAAGACCTTATCTAGTATCCTCTGAATCGGGGACTACAGAAACCGCCCACTAGCCTAGGGCAATAGCAAGAACGCTGTAATTTTCCTGAGCTATGATAGGAAAAGAAATCATCAATCAATCAATTGATTAATAAATAAACTCTGTGCCACAAATGGTATAAGGCCTGAATTCCTATTACTCGTGCTACAGGAACCCAAAACTAAGAAGTTATCCTAAAGTCTTGCCCAGAATTGGTAAATGTAAAAATACTCCCACAGGGATGCTCTAGGGAACGTGCAGTGTCTGTGGACTCCCCTTTCTCGCTCATCTCCATAAAGAAGAGTTAAAGAAAAAGAAGGGGAAGAAAAGATAAAAGGAAAAAAAAACAAAAACAAACACAGAGGGAGCTATTAGATGAAACTAATGAGAGAATTTTCATCTCAAGAACTGGAAATAATAGAACCATCTAAAAAAAGACTTTAAAATAAGTGTTCTAAAGCATTTCTGGAGATTGAGAAAGGAGCAGTAATCACAAAGTAAGAATACAGCTATTTGAAAACAGGCAAAGTTGGGGAAGATTCTGAGAATAAAAAACAGAGTAATTGAAATGAAAAACAAATAGACCAGTTGGGCTATATAGTAGATATAGCCAGTGAGACAGTAAGAGAATTGGAAGACAGATCTGAGGAAATCAACTAGAATGTAACAACAAAGAGAAAGAGATAGAAAATATGAAATTGATCAAATGATAAGGTCCTACCTATGTTTACTAAGAGTTCCAAATGGAAAAAATAGAGTAAGGGGCAAAAAGATAATAGTCAAGCATTTTTATTATCTAAGACATGAGCCTTCAAATTAAAGCAGCACACCAAGGTCCCATGTTGCATAATTACAAACAAACCCACTTTTAATCACAGTATTTCAACTTCAGAGTATCAACGTTAAAAACTGCCAGAGAGAGAGAAAAAACAAATTACCTACAAATGGATGACAATTGGACTGAGAAACATACTTCCCAAAAGCAACAAACTGGAAGACTATAGCTTTTAAGTTATAAATGTAGTTACAAATGCCCAGGAATAATGCATTTAAATTTCTGAGATAAAAACCACCACTCCAGAGTAAAAATAAAATAAAGTCAATTTCAGGTATCAAAAAGATATCAAAAGGTTATTTTGACAAGTAGTACATGAAGATTCACCTCATGTAAGAAAGGGAAAATAAATGTTTCATGTGAAGCACCCAATGCAGTACAGGGCACATAGTGAAAGCACTCAGTAAATGTCAGCTGGGGTCCTTCTTAGCTAAAATATATGAACTCAAAATCTTGCATGACATAACCCAGTTCTCTTCCATCCCCGTTGCCAGCTCATGATAGAATTGCATTTGTCTGCCCTCTGGAAGATATGTAGCCATGTTATTTGTATTCACCAATAAAATGCAAGCATAATGACCCGTGTTTTTCTACAGAATTTGTAAGACCTGCTGAGCGATTCACTACTTCCCTGTCTCCTACATGGGGCTGTAGAAGCCTGAGTGGAGATGCGGCCCCTGTCAGCCTGGGTTTCTAGATGGCCATGCTGGGTAGGGCTCTCCTGCATCCCAAGTGGATACATAAAATGAACAGGAAACAAACTTTTGTTGTGTTAAGGCCCCTGAGATTTCACAGTTGTTTCTGCAGCAAAACCTATCCCATCCTGACTAATGTAATGCACTAAAAGTAAAAAAAAAAAAAAAATTTCTTACAGAAAAAAAAAAAACTACCTAAAGCCATGCATTAGAACTCACTTGCTCATACTTAAAATACACCATTTCAACTTGCTTACGTAGATTTTCCATCTCCCAGAATGTTAGAAGCAAACTACTTGAGATGCCACCAAGGGTAGTCACTGAACCCAGTGAGAAGGGAAAGGTAGGCCCTGACCCCAGTGGACTGACTGTACAAAGAAAAGTTAGGAAACCCATGAAAAGAAGTTAAGGAACTTGAAAAGCATGATGATCGATGTCTGTTGGCGAGAGGTAGGGTTAGTGATGCTCACGAACAAACCTTTGGAGACATCTCTGTATCACAGCCGTGCTCTTCCAGTGTATTCTAGTTTTATTACATTTTAATTTTGCTTATCAGTTCTATTGTATTATACATTTAATTTTTGACTACACTTTTTTTAAATGCTTCGTATCTCCTAAGCATCACACTGAACATTTTAAATATGTAACAAGGCCCTAACCCCTCCCAACATGTCTCAGAGGCAGCGAGTTTTATCCCATCGCTCTGGATGGGAACCTGGCATCTCAGGGATTAGTAACCACCCAGGACTTCAGGGCCAGCCCAGCCGCAGCAGGGCTTTGTGGGAGCCCAGTCTGCGTGATTCTAGTCCTTTCGCCATCCTGCCTCTCACACGTGAGCAGAACGCCGTAGGAAGACCCTCAAGAAAGGCTAAATTATGTTTCAGGAAAGTCTGTTCAGAAAGGCTGGGAAACATGTGTGACATTTTGGAAGTTTTTCTATCAAAAGAAAAAAAAAAAAAGATTCAATTTTAACAAGTGCTGGTGCTTCAAAGGGTATAAAGTGTGGGTTATCGGGAGAAGCACATGTGGGAAGCAGCTCTCTCTCCCATCGCTAGATAAATGAGACAGTCTTGAATTTCAATGATCTTATAAATGCAACATGAGTGATAAATTATAACTCCATTAAAGCTCTTTCATTTGGAATAAGGAATCTGTATTCTTTGACCATGTAACTTTTTTTTTTTTAACTGCATCTTTCAAACAGAAATATTTGCTTGCCGTGGATGAGTCACTTCCTCGGTTCTTTACAAGGTGCGGAGGAAGGGCCCAAGGTGGGGGGCGGCGGGAAGGTGAAGCAGCCGCGGCCGCCAAATGGTTGCCAGAGCGGCCGGCCGCCGTTTCAGCCCCTAGTTGCTTCCTTATGCGAAGGGCGGCCGCTGACACCGGGGTCTTCACGGGGAACAAAAGAGCAAGGACGGCGACGCTGGGCACTCAGGACAAGCTTCCTGCCTCGACGGGCCTGGGCAGGGCCCTTTCTTCCAGGATGACCGCATTTGGCTCCTCGCTGCCAGGGCGACACCTCTGGGGCTCGACTCCCCCGCTCTGGACCCCAACATTTCCCCCGCAAACCACAGCCACGCTTTCGCTGGAAACTCGACGTTTGTCTTTATTTTAGGGTGACCGCGCCGCAGGTAAACGGAGATGTTTGTCGTGGAGCTGGAGCGCTGTTGCTGAAAAGTGGCGATGGCAATTTGGGCCGTCCGGAGGGGACTGTCGAGAAGCCAGGGTCCCGGTCCCCGAGCTGTGCTTTTGTCCCCACGACGGCGGATGCAGTGCGCTCGCGAACCCCGGAGCGTCCGGCTATGCCGGGGGGGAGACTGCAAACGCTCACTATCAGGCGACTTCTGACAATTCCTAATGTAATCCATACACTACGCATACATTCTAGTTACACAATTTATGAGGTATAACAAGGGGAGAGAAGTGGAGCTGGGATATAATTGTGA